GATCAAGTATGTTTAAATGTTCGTGATATACAAGAACTAAAACTTATACGATTACCATCAACATTTCATGAATCTAAAGCTAAATTACGTGCTATTGATCCATGTCTTATTGATATACGTCTTTCATTATCTGATGAACATAATAGAATTTCAAATGAATCAATAAAACAATATCATCAACCAATACCAATAGCTCGTTGTTCACATAGTAAATCAATGGGAAGTAGTGGTAATAGTACAGTAATTTCATCGAGTTCAAATGAATCATCATCATCATTAGGTTATTTACCTATGAATAAAACTCTTGATGATTCATTTAATGAACAAATTAAAAAATTCAGTGAACTTTCAACAACAACACATATTCCATCAAAACCAATTACATTAGTTGCAAAAAAAGTTTTACCAAAAAAAATTATACGAAATAATAATAATAATAATAATCGTTCATTATTATCAACAGAAATTCATCCTACAAATATGATAAAAACAACAACTGTAGATAATCATCGTAAAATATCACCTATACGTGTAACAATTACAAGTAAATTAAATCCAAATGCTACTCCATTCTATGGTCAACAACGTTCAATATCTACGACTCAAAATTCATCATTTATATCCTATGAACAAAATCAATTTCAATCAAATCCTCAATCTAGTATTTCATCCAATCGTTCACAATCAATACCAAATGAAATTAATACAATCAATCGTCTTGTTCATCAACAACAAAATCGACATCGTTCTTATCAACGATTTGTTCCACCACGACAAATGGCTATAAGAAAACAATTCAATATTCAATCAACGGATAAAAAATCAAATCATGAACAATTGCCAGGTTATTCTTGTTTCGTTTTTTTAATTTCAATTTTTTTTTTTTTTTTATTATTCAGGATCAATTTATCAAACATCATCGACAGTAATGGATCAGATATTATCAACACCACCTATGCGAGAACGTTTATCCGTACCAATTAATAAGCGTCCACGTCAATCACCTGTTATTCTTCGTTCGACTGGTAGTTTACCGTATCAACATAAAAATTCAGGAGACCGTAACCAATTACAAATGCCGTTATCATTCGGAGAACCAATTGGTTCTCATCGTGGACAACGTACTGTTTCTGGTACAAGTAGTGGTAGTAGTTTAAGTGTTGATATTGGTCCTCATTCAATAATTCAACTTGATTCAATATCAAACGTTTTAACATCAAATGATGGTCAATATGATTTTGAAAAAGCTAATGAAGAATTTCATCGTTATTTAGCATTGGAAGAATTAGTTACTCGACATGTATCATCAGGTTATTCAACAGAATCTCATCCTGATGATGATTTAAATCAACAACAATCTCAAACAAATCCATATAAAAAAGATATTTCATTTTTTGATCGTATATCATGTACAGCTACAACAGGTACGGCTGTAGCTTATACTGAAATGGATGAAATAGAAAAAAATCGTGAAACATTTGGTGATGATGCTCTTCTTATCGGTTCTGATTTAAATGATAATGAATGGTTTATTTAAAAAAAACGAAAAAAACAAAAAAAATACATTATTTTATTTCTTTTTGGTTTGTACATTTTGTTCAGTCTATTTCATACAACATATTTTTCTTCTATTTTTTATAACACTGCAGTTCTTTTTAATTCTAAAATAAAACACCAAGAATATATTTGCAATTCATAATAAATATCTTTCAATAAAAGAATACTATCTACATAAAAAGCTGATTTATGTTATTTATTTGAATAGGATTTAATGATTAAAAAATACAATAAAAATTTTAATTTACCAACGTTAAAACTTATTTAATTTTCTTTATTAGAAAAAGAGAGAGACAGAGGCATCAATTTTTAGATATGATCAAGGTCAATTTATACTCTAAAATAATCGAAACAATCAATAAGAATCTTACTCATCAGGCAATACGACGTGAAAAAAACGAAATAATAATTTTCGTGTATTATTGGACGATAAACTGTATAATATACAAGAGAAAAGAATACAAGTTTGTTGTTTTTTTTTTTTCTACTTACAATAAATAAACTCGATTTTTTTCTTTGCATTACTCTCATTGATTCGATACGTTTTGCGGTCACGGATGTGTGAGCAAGCAAAAAAAAAAAAGATGAAAAAGACGCGGTCTGCCGCAAAACTAAACAGTGTGTAGTATTCATAACTACTCATCAGCGTTTTTCTTTTTATCTATTGAAATAGGTTATAGAAAATATGCAAGCATTCATATTTGCGATTAGTATTATATTATTAGTATTTATACAACGAGTTGAATCAACATATTATGTTTATACATATGATGATGGCATTGGTAATGACGAACATTGTTGTCTTGTACGATTAGGTGAAAATTTTTGTGTAGCAAAACCACTTACACGTAGTTTATTACAAGTAAATAAAGCATGTCAACGATTGGGTATTAATGAAAAAACTACAAATGATTTAAATAAAATTGTTCGTCGTTTAAATGTTGAAAAATCAGAAAAAATTGGTGATAAAATACTTTTACAATTACAAACACCATTAGATAAAAATATACTTAAAAATGATCTTTTATGTTTATCATCAACAACAAATAATATTAATTTAGAAAAATGTTTTGTTGAATTAGCTGATGAACAACCTAAAAAAAAGAGTAAGAATAACTTTGAAATACATATATAAAAATTTATTTTTCAATATTATAGATAAAAAAGGTCATCATCATCATAGTGAACAAGGTAAAAATGAAACAGCTGATAAAGTAGTTATTGAAGAAAAACCTACTAATGAAAAAGAAATTCGTCTTCTTGAAATATCTGAACCAATACAAATTCATGAAGGACATGGTCTTGTTTTTAATCAAATTTATGAACTTAATTTAACTAATTTTCGACCAACAACAAATCAACAACGTGATTGTTGGTCATGGTATCGTACACATACAAAAAAATTATGTAATCATCCAAGAAATTTTATGAAAACATGTATTTCTTTAAATCATCAACGTGAAAAATGTATTGAAAAACTTTTCTATAAAAAAATTAATGATGAACAACAAGAATCATATTTAAAAAATTCAATTACAATTGGTTCGAAATTATATTGTGAAGATGGTAATAAACAAAATAAATTTCTTGGTTATCATCAGCAAAGTCAAATATGTTTTTTATCACATACACAAATATCAATTCAACATAAATTTACTGATTTTGTTAGTTTATCCGATAAAAATAAAAATAAAAATGTACTTCAATTTATATCAAATGATACAAAATTAACAAATGAATTTGAACATGATTGTCATGATAAAGTAACATTAGCTGAAATAAAAAAATCATTAGAAAAACAAGCTGAATCAAATATACCTGATGATAATGCATCACAACAAGAATAAAACAAAAGACAAAAAATAAAATAAAATAAAACAAAAACTTTCGAAACCTTAAAATAGTTTTCTTTTTTTTTTCTTTCACTTTTTTCTTTTGTTTTTCTTTTCAAATCAATTTTAATTAAAATAAAAGTAGTAGTATAGGAATATTTGACACATTCACATACACAAAAACAAAAATACAAAGTTTATGCTGGTCAATGTCATTTTTCACAGGATCATATTTGAGGCTATTGAAAGAAGAAATATGATAAATGATATTTGAATCGATGGTAATGCTAAAGAAAAAAAAAGAATAATATATACAAGTCAGATATAGGATTTTGTTGTATCGTATAGGTTAGTTTCGTATTAGATAGATTATCAATGTCATGATTTAGACATATGTTTGTTTCAATGCAAAAAAACAAAAATGAAATATTTAGGAGATTCCAAAAAGTTATTATTCACCTTTTTCATTTCAATAACTTTAATAATCGTCATGGTTCGTGTATAATTGAAAAATGGTTATATGCGAAACCTTCTAGAATCGAGAATAGTGATTCATCGTTTAAGTAGTCGTTTTTTTTGCTTTCTATACTCTGAACTTATTCATTCTAACAAGAAGTTTAGAAAAGTTTAAGCATAAATATCAATTTTTTTTTGATTTAGAAAACTTATCAACTTTAATTAGATGTCTTTTATCAGTGAAAAAATCCTTACCAAAACAAGGTACTTGATCAGCAGATGTACATCGACCCATATTTCTATTAAAACGTTGACCATTTGGACAACGACTTTGATTTACTACACGATTATCTAAACATTGTATATATGATTGACAATTTGGTTTTGTTCGATCAAGATAAAATCCATCACCATGATCCGTACATGATGGAACAAAACTACATAAATTTTTTGCAGCATCATAATTTGATAAATAATGACCTTAATTTACAAAAAAAAACAACAACAAACGACATTGTCTATCAAAGAAAAAATCTTTTTGATATGTTTTTTTTTTTCGATATTACTTACATTTACTTAAACATTGTCGTCGTCCATCACATTTTACTTTTTTATATGGTAAACATTTACGAATTTGTATATCAAATAAATTTGGATGTGAACATGATTGAAGAATTAATTTACCTGATATACATTCATAATAATGACAACAACTTGTTAAATCAATAAAACGAGCACCTTCATTTTTTGTTGTACATTTATTATTACCTATTGAAATAAATTATTTTGAAAACTTTTCGAATTCATAGTAACTCTAAAAATTGATCCGATTGATTTTATTTCGATTACATGAGGAATTCAAACAGTACGTAAAATCTCGAGTTTTCGACGAAATTTTTTGACCGAACTACTACATCAATATTTAAAAAATCACCATCTTTCCAAAACATCCGAACAAAAAAATGCATGAAAACGGAATTCCGTTATAACGAAGTCTCACTCAAACTTAAAATAATTCTATATAATTCGATCGAATAGATATATGATTTTATTTATTCAACCTTGAGATATGAGAAGATGATCGCATTTGACATCGTTTTCATGTATTACTTTATTCGAATGTTTTGCAATCATGATAGATTTTCAAAACAATTTTGTCTTATATAATATTAGATAAAAAATCAATCCAGAGTTCTACACTTTCGATTCTTAATACGAGTTACTATTATGAAAAAGAAAATAAAAGAACTTTATACATTGAACATTTTGTGTATAATCACAACTTTGTTTATCAGGACTATATTGAAGTTGTGCTGGACAATGTGATACAAGATCAGTACCATGATAACAATCATGATAAATTGAACAATCATATGGATCTGGTACACGCCATGATTTACTTTGAGGACATATTATTGATGGTTTATAAACATCGGATGATGAAGGAGCAACTGGAATATCTGTTAGAATATAAGATGATGGATAAGTTGTGTCTCGACGTATCCATGGAGCATTACGAATTGTCGATAATGAAATAGACGGTACTGGACTAAGATTCTTCACTGGGCCTATAGATTTTTAAAGAAAATTTATTCAAAAAAAAAAGAAGGTTTTTTCAAAATAAATTTACAGTCTGATTGTGCAGGCCAAACACACATTTTTTCAGCTTGTGACCAATATAAACCTTTTTTACATAGTTTAGCTTGTGGTATGCCTTAAAAAAAAACGAAATAACATTATATTGACTTTTAGAGTCGATATTTTAATTAAATCTTTATACAGTTTATTTCTAATAGAATTATGATCTTAAATATTATTCTTGTTAGATGAATTTGAAATCTTACAATCTATGACATTAGAAATGATCACTATATTTAATAGAAACATTTATTATTGTATCAATGATCAATATTTTCTATGTAAATACTAATTGTAGTGATTGAATCGCCTAGACTTTCTTTTCCTTAGTAAACAAACGACATGAATCTTTCTTTCTTTCTTAGTTTAATTGTAAGAATTGTTTTACTCGATGTCACGTCTATTCTTACCATTTGCACAATAAGCATATTGTTTACAATCAGTTGGATGAGCTATATAGTCATTATCAATAGATTGACATAAATAATCAAAAATTGAACCATGTGATATATTATTCTTAATAGGAATCTTATAATCTAAAATTAAAATAAATTTAATAAAAAAAAATAATATTTTTTTTCCTATTTGAATTTCAACTTAGTGGATAAAGAATATGTCTTGTTGTTGTTGTTGTTGCACTTGTTGTAGCTGGAAGAGTATCATCATATGATGTATGATTACAATTAACCTAAATCATTGAGAAAAATATTAAATTTTAAAGAATATAATAAGAAATTATTTTACATTCATAGCCCAATCACATTCATTTTTAATTGGATTAAATAAAAGATCATCTTTACATGCTTTAACTGAATGTGTTGTACCAACACAAATATGATAAAGCCAACAATCACGTTTATCTGGAAAAAATCCATCTTTTTCACATACAAAATTTTCAGTTCTTGTTATTTGAATAATAATAACTATTTTGTTTTTTGTAAAATGAAAATAATTTTATTTGATTAGATAATTAAAATAATAAAACTTACAAATAATTAATAAATAAAATAAACATCGATTTGACTCGTATGACATGATGATAATTGAACATTCA